AAAGAAGAAGATGGCGCAAATGTTTAAGATTAGTGATCTCATGGCGTAAGTGTTTCCTTAGGCTTAAGTACCTTAAAATGGAAGAGATTTACGATCACATTTGGGAGCATTTCCAATGGAGCACCCTTCAGTTCAATCACTCTCAATTGTTTAAGACTTGGGCACTTCATCCATTACTTCCCTCTCATCACCATCTTTTAAGAAGGCTCGCATGCATGGCAGCTCATCACTCTTTGATGCATTCAGCTTCTTCGTTAACACCTTTCAATAACTTCACCTCTTCGGCACCTATTTTTGCAATTGGTCTCTATGAGTCTGACTTATATAATGAATACATTCACAAAATCATCTTCCTTTCTTCTCTCTCATTGCATTCTGTCACTTTCTCCCAAACCTTCATATTGCTTGGGAAACAAAACTTGTGGTTGTGGCCTTGTGGAATGATAGCATGTAAAGCAACTATATTATGAATATATTCAGCACTGTTGTTTTCTCCTCCTCTTTATCTTTTCTATTTGCACTAGTTATCTTTCGATCAATAACTGTGAATGTAATTCCATTAATTTTTTTTTTATATGAGGAATGTGAATAATTATGGCTGCTAGTTAATCGAATAGAATTATATATAGGTTATATAAGTTTGATTCATTCATATTCAAATTTGAATCAAATTCATATTACAATTTGATATTGAATAATAAAAAATATAAATTAATCGGGAAAACTCCTGATAGGTACCCTGTGCTTTAGGCCGAGTGCCAATTTAGTACCTGGACTTTATAATGCAACAATCTAGTACCCAAACTTTTGGAATGCGACAATCTAGTACCTACCGTTAATAGACCATCAGTTATGTATATCACGTGACCTCATGTGTGATTTAAGACTTTTGAAAATGTTAAAATTACCCTTGGAAATGTTCATCATCTTCTTTCTCAAGAAAATGAAACAAAGGCAAACAACTATAATCCCTAAGCCTTATACCATTGCAGAGGCTAAAAACTGCTTCAAGCTCTAGTAGACCTCCAAGAACTGGGCAACAAGCATTTCCACTGAATTCCCTAATCCAACGTGCACCAACCCGTCAAGAACATTCAAGCACAACCCTAGTTTCAGCACATTGATCGGGCATGTTGGACTAGTTGAAGGTGGAGGATTTGTCCCTGTGCAACGACGATTAGGACGTTCTTATCATCCCCATGGAGCAACTCAAGCAAGGAATCCATGGCAGTATTCTTAAATTAGCAAATTAGAGGGGCAGAGAGGAGGAAAGAGTGAGGAGAGATGAAACGATGAATAGGCGGCACTATCGGTCTGGTTTTACCAGATGGTTGATAAAGAAAATTATATGACACTTGAAGAACATTTTTGTCTTTTTGCATGCCACTTAACAGCTGATTAACGCCGGGTACTAAATCGTCTATAAATAAAGTTCGGATACTTGATTATTGCATTTTAAAGTTTGGGTACTAAACTGGCACTCAGCCTAAAGTACAGGATACCTATCTGGAATTTTCCCAAATTAATAAATTGAAACTTGGGCCTATAATAATTTAATAAGAACACAGCATTAATTTAAACCAACTTCACTAAATGGATACAATTTAAATTACATTTTAAGTATATATGAACATCATCATCATCGAAACCTCTTATAAAAAAGAAACCCTTGGAAAATAAACCAAAACATCAAATACAAAGGAAAGGAATTCCTAGACCATCATGAGGCATCATCTACCAATATATATAGATTGTGGATATAAACAGGAAGATCAATTCTGTTAGACCATTCATCATATTCACCTATTCCAAGATATTGAAGGTTCCAACTTCCAAGTGCTGTGAACAACAAGTTAACAGACTTCACGGATTCAGTAAACTTAATTTCTCATGTTTGCAGTTGAATTATGATCACTATGGTTCATCCTTGAGCAACCAAATTCAGTAGACTTAATTTCTTATGGGTGGCTAGTTTCATTTCCTCTGTTTCACTTTTATAGATGATATACAGAAAGATTCCGGCAGGAATTCTGAGCTGAAGTAGAATCTAGGACGCTCTCTGGTTCTTTAATATGTGATTCTAAGTTCTAACCCTGTTGCTGCTCTTTCTCATGCTTCCCGGGAGGTTCTAAGCCCAATTAATCGATGCTCTGACGTCAGATCTTTGGCACCGGCAGTGACTCAACGCAGGTTTCCTTAAAATTCATACCAATGATCCACCCCTTCATACATAATCAGTATGCTGGATATGGTGTTTTTGTAGAGGATAGTTGATGCGGCACGATCTGGGCACTCCTAGCTGTCTGCTGACTGGCTCCTTGTTGGTGATGGACGACACCTGAGAAGATGGAAAAGAAGGATTCCCGGGAATTTACCCGGTGGGAGTACTCCGATGCTTAAGTCAGAACGCAGGGGAAAGAGAAAAGAAGACTGCAAAAGCTAAGAGTGTAGGTCGCGCTTTATCACTGTGCTCGAGAGATTAGCTCGCGAGCAAAGATGTATTCAGTTTAGAGTATGAGAATGCTAAAGTATTCCAAAGTCTGAAGATCCCTTTTCTCTTCTGCCTTGAGGGCTTTTATAGGGGCGTTCTTGTCAGGTCGGGCATAACCGCCACTGGACCCCTGCCACAGCCGTTACCTGCCAGGCCTGCGCAGGTGGCCGTTGCAACATACTCCTTGCCCGGGTGAGTGACGTTTCCAAAGGGCAGGCGCGCCTCTGCCTGCTGAGAGATGTGGGTGCAGTCTATCGAAAGGATAGGGACTGCGCCGTCAGTTAAGGGATGTGACGCAGTCTGATCAGTACGGCCTGTCAGATAGAAACTTCCTGAGGAACGCTCGCGTTGCTCACTCGCGAGCTACTTTGTAGCGAGCTTGGGAATACTTCAAGGTTACCCTTAGTAGAATTGGTCCCTAGGATGGCTTATCTGCTTGGGGGCTCGGGCGAGCTAGTTTCCCTATCTCGCGAGCTAAAGTTGCCTCGGAATATCCCCTTCGGGGTAGCTCGCGGAACCCGGAGCTCGCATTGTGGCGAGCTACGATGTAGCGAGTTGCTTTATGGGCTCGTTACTTGGTCGTACTAGGCCACGATGTTGAGCTGTTACTCGTGCTGAGTCAGGTCCACGTGTCACCATTTCGTAGGTCGGGCCAAATCATCCTCCATCAATTGTCCCCCACTCCTTGAGCTGAGAGTGTTGCCATAGTGCGAGGAATTCATGAAGTATGATGGACTGATTTGACCGAAATTCAAACTTGATTGACTACTCACATTAGATACGTTCGCGGGAATCAAGAGATTTTCTGACTTTTTGAATTCCGAAAGCATGCTGAAGTGGTTCTTAACTCCAAATGTTGTGCAGCCGTCATTACCTCAATCATGGAAGACGTGCGGCCAATCGCTTTCGGTTTTCAGAAGGCGTGCGGTCAGTACGCCTGTGAACCGTTGGATCTGCTTTAATCTGGGCCGTTGATTTGAAGGAGTGGGGGCTATAAATAGGAGGGCCCTCTGGGTCTCATTTTCCCTCACACCATCTTGCTGTCTTCGGATTCTGAGGTCGCGCATCTGTCAAGTCTACTCGAGTACCTCAACTCACTTCATCCCGTCCCTTTCGGTGAGTCTTACTTATTGTCAGTCATGTTTGGGTACCCGTATCATACTCATCATCGGGGCGGTGACTAGGACGATGATGCTCCCTCAAGCTCGGGGGGAGCTTGGGAGTAGGTTCCGGGGGCCCGGGAGACCTCCGGTGACGGAGCCTCTACTTCCCGAGGAAGGGAGCCCGATACTTTTGGCCCTTCCTCCATGACTGAGGGGAGACTTAGGTCTCTAATTAGTTATTTTCACCTTCCTAGCAACCTCCTCTACTGCCTTCCCACCGATAACTTTCCGTGGAAGCATGGTCCCAATAAGATAGTCATTTACCAGGAGTAGCTCGAGGCTGGCCTATGTCTCCCCCTACACCCCTTGATAGTGGAGGTGCTAAACCACTTTAATGTCACCATCGATCAGCTCCATCCCAATGCCATTCAGAACATGGTTGGGACTATATCCTTGTGTTGGGAATACTTTCTTCCCTTGAATCTCGACATTTTTTCCGCTATCCTTTGTATAAAGAATGCCACCCCCGGGGCTCCACCGGAGAGGCGTCTCTACTACTTCTCTCCCCGTTGTGGCTACAAGCTCTTGCATGAGCTTCCGAATAAAATGCTGCCTGGAAGCGGGATTATTTTTTGGTCCACAACCCCAAAGGGTGGCCCTTCCCTACTTCTTGGAGGGGCGCCATCTAGGATTCCGGGGTCGAGCTGGACCCTGATACTCAGAAAACGATGCTGTCCTGGGCATTAGTAGGCTTCCTCTGTTCGGACTACTTGACCGAGGAGAAGCTCGTGCAGGCCGGCCTGAGCCCGGGTAGGTTGTCTTTTTAGGTCGTGTAGTACTTGTCATAACATTGTGTTCATATACATATACTTCGTTCTTACCGAACTAATACTTAGTGGTTTGTTCTTGGCAGCCATCATGTCTGGTATCGACTCGCACCGCCTCCTTTCAAGCAACTAGAGGCGCAGAGTGAAGAGGTCGCACCCCGATCGGACTCCCACCTCGGGGGGCACCGAGTTCGAATTTGCCGAGCCAATCTTATCCTCTCCGCCACCTAAGATTCTGCCACCAGAAATCCCGCCACCTCCACGCGAAGGAGGAGCTAGTGGGGTTGGCTTCGAAGGGGGTGAGCTCCCACGGCAGGGGGTGATTCCCCATAATCCTTTCCAGCCATTCCCTTATCCGCAGTTCCCAGTGGGGAACTGGGAGGGGGTGAATGATTACATCGTGGCTCAACGAAAGAACCGGAGGGCGATCTGTAACGACGAGGTCGCCAAGTGGGGAGAGATGGAGCCCGAGGACCTCGCCGTGTTTGCCTCCTCTCACTGCATGGTGGTAAGTGGTTCTTTCCTTTCTTCTCTCGTTTTGCTTCCTTTTGCTATCCTCTGATTTTTTTTTGTTGGTAGGTGAATACTGCCATCCATGCTATGGCCCTCCAGACGCGCATCCACCGCAGTGACGCCATCGACCAAAGGGCTGCCAATCAGAAGCTCCAGGGCGAGCTCCATCACACTCATAAGGGGAGTGAATCTCAGGAGCTGCTCGTCCGCGACCAGGAGGCACAAATTGTTGGGCGGTTGTGCCCTTTGGTTGTTAGACTTTCCCGAGCTGTTTAGCTTGGTTATTGCCTTGTTATTTTTCTTTCTCTCTCTTTTTTTTATATGGTAATGAAATTTCTTCTTTTTCTTCTAAGTATGGTGTAGTCTCTTTATTTTGCTACATACCCAAAGTAGGACATTTCGATAGTCGTTATCCCAAACTATCCCTTAATCATTTAAGGCATCTCTATGGTGCACAGCAAAGTGATTATCATGCGTGCCCGAACCATACACTTGTTGGTTATTCTTTAGTTTAATCAACGCACTGAAACGAACTATGCTTCACGGGGTTTAAACCCGAGCTGCTTACGCTTCTAATATTCCATACTTTGCCTTCATCACCGAAATGGCTAAGTCTTTCTTGATGCTGAGGTGTTAGTTAGCTCGGTGTTTTAGCCCGTAAGCTGGGGGGTGACTTATAGTCTGCCCTTGAAGTTTGCCCATGCCATGGAGACGACTGGGTCTTATCGTGCCAAGGTCACGTTAGCTCGGCATTTCGGCCCTTAGGCTTTGGGAGTGACTCGTGGTCTACTCAGTTGTTACAGGTAATACTGTCTTAGGTTGACAATATTCCATGACCGAGGTACTTGTTTCCCTTTGAGGGTCTCAAGCTCGTATGTTCCTTCCCCGAGCACTCATTTCACTCGGTAAGGTCCTTCCCAATTAGACCTGAGCTTGACAACGCCGGGCTCAGGTACTATAACTTTACAAAGGACCAAGTCACCGATGCGGAGGTTCCGCTTCTTGACCTTGGCATTATAGTACCGAGCTACTCTTTGTTGGAAAGTGCGGTCCTGATGTACACGAGGTCCCTTACTTCGTTGAGTAGATCGAGGTTGGTGCGTAGCTCATCTTCATTTGTCTTGTCACTGTACGCTTCCAATCGCAGTGTAGGTACTTCGATCTCTGCCGGGATAATTAGTTCGGTGCCGTAGGTGAGGTTGAAGGGAGTCTCTCCTGTGGCAGTTTTCTCCATGGTTCGGTAGGACCATAGAACACTGGGTAGCTCGTCTGCCCACAATCCTTTAGCTTGGTCTAAATGTGCTATCAGTCCGCGGAGGATGGCTCTATTCGTGACCTCTGCTTGACCGTTTGCTTGGGGGTGCGCGACTGAAGTGAAATTCTATCGGATCCCCATGTCTTGGCACCAGTTCTGGAATTTGATGTCCTCGAACTGCTTGCCATTGTTATAAATTAGTACCCAAGGTAACCCTAAGCGGCACACAATGTTCTTCCAAAAGAAGTTTTGGACGTTCTAGGCTATGATTGTTACGAGAGGTTTAGCTTTTTTACCCACTTGGTGAAGTAATCCACTACTACTACCAAGAACTTCCTCTGGCATGTCGCTGGCGGGAACGGTCCAAGTATGTCGATGCCCCATTGTGCGAAGGGCCATGGGCTGGTGAGATACTTGAGGTCGGCAGCGGGCTGATGGTGGATATTGGCATGCTTCTGGCATTTGCCACATTTTCTGACGAACTGAACAGTGTCTGCTTTCATCGTTGGCCAGTAGTACCCCTGTCGCAGTGCATTTTGGGCAAGGGCCCTGCCCCCCAAGTGTCCGCCTTACAGACCCTCATAAATGTCGCAGAGTACAAGCTCGACTTCGGAAGGTCGCAGGCAGCGCAGGTAGGGGAGCGTGTAGGATCTTCGGTACAACCGTCCGTCTATTATGACGTATTTGGCCGTCTGGCGGTCTACCCTTCTGGCCGCATTGCGATCTGCAGGGAGGGTCCCGTTCAGCAAGAAGCTCGCGAGTGGGTCAATCCAGCTCGGCTCTGCTTGAACGACGGGAGCGACCTCCTCTGCCCCCCCCCCCCC